GTGGCCATCCCCCCGGGCGGTGATTTCTCACTTTCTGTCTCTCTGTCTCTCTCTGTCTCTCTGGCGAGTGCACGTACCCTATAGCAAAAACCTCTCCAAAAAAAAAAAGGTCAGTCTGCTGGGAAGCGAGCAGAAGTGCTGGGTTAGGACTGCTCCCGGAGAGGGCACCAAGAGAGAATTAGTCATGTCCCTCACCAGAAAAGTGATCAGCACTGCAAAAGCCCCAGAGGCCATTGGTCCCTACAGCCAAGCTGTGTTAGTGGACAGGGCCGTTTACGTTTCAGGACAGCTGGGCATAAACCCTTCAAGTGGACAGCTTGTGCCAGGAGGAGTGGGGGAAGAAGCTAAGCAAGCTCTTACAAACACGGGTGGGATTCTGAAAGCGGCCGGCTGTGACTACAGTAACGTGGTGAAAACAAGTGTTTTGCTGGCTGACATAAATGACTTTGGTACTGTCAGCCTAATCTACAAACAGTATTTCAAGAGCAGCTTTCCTGCTAGAGCTGCTTACCAGGTTCCTGCTTTGCCCAAAGGAGGCCAGTAGCCGTCCAAGGACCACTCAACCGCATGACTGTAAGTGGGCCAGTGTTGTCTAGCTTGGAACTTTCATTATATTTTTAAACTAACATCTTAATTTTTTTGAAAGAATTATTTTATTTAACTTTATTTACTTTAATTTGACCAAGGAGGGACAGAGTGAGAGAGAAAGTGAAAAAGCAAGCCTCCAGGTCCAGGACTCAAACCGTGTTCAGCCATGTGGGAGTCCTGTGCCCTTAACCACTATGCCACCTGCTGGCCCCTAACATCTTAATTTTTTATAATTGATGAAAGTATAAGTTTGAGTAAAGTATCTGAAGTTATTACAGAATGCATATAATAAGGAGAGTTGAATGTGATTGAAGATTTGTTGCTAATGTTCTAAAATTATACTTAATGTATACCTGTATTACTAACTGTAGGAGAAGAGAAAGAGAAATTACATATTTACTCAAATAAAAAAAAAAAACAAAAACAAAGGGAAATAACATGCAGGAAAGAAGAGTTAATTGTTCCTGAGAAATAAGAGCATACCCAATTCAGTTAATCGTGTTTACTTACTGATGTGAAATACTTAATTCTCATGTTAGATATGTGATTCTGCTTGTACTGAGTATAACTGAAGTATTTAAATTTGAATGGTAAAAATACAGGAGAAGAATATGAACCAAAATTTTAGATAAATAATATTTTTCTAATGGAAATTAAATATATATACAAATTTTTAAAAAAAAGATACTCCTTTCGTAAAGGAGCCTAATCCAAAAGATGAGATACATGTACATAACCCAAATGTGAGAACAATGTGGAACACTCTTTTTTTCCTTCCTGGAGTGCATGTGCTTGCAAGGGAGACAGACTGAGGGCCCTTGCTCCTTGATACACTTCCAGCTTCAGGCAGCCCCAGTCATGGGCGTGTGCATGCCTGGCATACTCAGGGAGGTCCCTGGGTACGAATCCAGAATCTTCTCATGTGGGCGAGTCTCGCAGAACATTGCATTTTACTTCTGTGCCACCATCTGGCCCCTGAAGCATTTTCATGGGGGAGCTATTATACAAACTGCTTTGGGAGCTCAGAGGAGAAAGACCACTGTGGTCTAACACATTCAGGGCTCTTTTACTGTGTACTTGGTACAGGGTTAAGGGATTAAGAAGTGCTGAGCTGCCAGCATTTGAGAAAGGGCATGGATTTCCTAAGTGGAGGCGGGGTATAATGGTAAAGACCTGGCAGCAGGTGAGGTGAGATGGGGCGGCAGTAACCCTGACTTCCTGTAGTCCACGCGCTTTACAAGCTTGGAACTGGCATCCAATCCCTTCTCACTGACGTTCCCTCTACTACGCAAAGCAGTAGCTGGTGGCTTAGCATTAGATAGTACCAGGTCATTCGTTGGTTGCAGCTGGTGGTAAGCATAGGGCAACTGGTTTCAGTGGAGTACTTTCAGTCAAGAGGATTTTATTGAGATGGTTAGGTTTTTGATAGAGAGAGACAATGAGACTTGGAATTCAGCTTCTACTTATTTCTGAAGAGGACAAACAGGACTCATTTTTATTATTATTTTTTTAAAGAGATTTTAGCTACAGGGTGTGTGTACTTGCAGGAGAGACAATGAGAGACAGAGTGACAGAAAGTGAGAAATCACCCCCAGGGATGATGACCACGCCACAATCCTTTCTTCTCCATTCTCCTCGGGATTTTGGGCACACATGCAAATGTGTTTGGCATGTTTTAAGCCACTGGGTCTGGGACTCAAACCAACTATGTGAGAGCCCAGTGACTAAACCATTATGTCATTTGCTGGTCCCAAAACATCTGCTCAGCTCACGTCGCACACTCCCTCATTACATGGAGTGAATGGTGTATAAACAGACATTAGATTCACTTGAAGGATTTCTGGTGAGCACCATTCCTGGTTACCACCTCAACAATAGCATTGTGTATAAGCCACTGTATTGCAGAGTTGTTTTATAAACATTCTACATCTGGAATTCCCTGCCTAGAATTACTGCTGATTCTTCACTTACATGTAGAACTTTTCAGCCAACTGTTTGCTCTAATAAACTTTTATTTACCCCAAATCACCTCTTGGAGGCTAGTGATACAAAGTGAAATGGTCGTGGTATTTAAACTCATTTCTGTTTTCAGTATTATATTTGGAATAATGATGGATCAAGTCAGTAAACGTTTGAGTGTGAAATGAATGAACAAGGTGGTGGTTCAGCCCTGAAAGGTATCACTTCCTCTAATACAGTAATTCACAAAAATTAGCATACAGTGAGTGAAGAGCTTTCGAACTGGGAAATCAGGAAATTCTGAGCATCGCAGAAAAGAGCAGAAGAGCGAAAATAGAGAAGACATCACTGTAATGACCTCTGAGGAATCCACCTAAAAAAATCCAGTATCGAGTGGTTAAAAGTACATGCAAAAATTGGAATCAAAGCACAACTTTATTTTGGTGCAAAAGTTTTTTGAAATCATATATACTGTTTTCATAATACATAATTTCATAGATTTCTTGAAGATCATATGTCCTTTTATACTTACTGCTCTTGGAGAGTTGGAAACCTAAAATGGAAAGCTAAGCTTCTACATGCAGGTTTTTCTTGGTTTCATTTTATTCCAGTCATTATTGGTGGAGAACAACATACTGGGCAGTGAGTGTGTGAGTGTGCACATGTGTGTATATGCACACGCACACACTTCCCATCTGTGAGATGTTTTGTTTTTCTTCAAGCTCCTCTTCAACTTTCCTCTTTCTTTGAGGTACTACCTATTTTCTAGTTTGATAACAATTCTAATTTTCCACCTCTCCTATATATTCTTTTATTTTCTGACTTTTTTTTTCCTCTTTAATTTTTAGCTACTGGATCTATCTTAACTGCTGAAAGTGAATAGGAAAGCCCTGTTTTTTTTTTTTTTTTTTTTCAGTCAGCAAATTTTTGGAAAAGTGGGTCAGATCCTAGGCAATCTTCTTGACTTTTTGCAATTTTTTAAAGAAAGATATCAGGTCCTACACAATTTAGCACTTAATTCAGTCTTCTGAGTACAAAATTGGGTTGCTATTACCTTCCTCATCCCTGAAAGAATCCTCTTTTACCTGAACCCACACACATCTCCTGGCAACCTACCCTTCCTCCATCCCAAACACACACCAGTCTTACTCAAGAATTGTTGGAATGATCAGATGCACTAGTCAAGAGGAATCCATCTAGGACCTAAGACTGGGAGATCAGCAACCAGAAGCCTAGGAGAGTGGGATTTCAGGAAGACCAGTGACTGGTGGTATTTGGGTTCATTGGGTTGTCCTCATGGGAGTAAGGGTAGGTTGGAGCTGGAGTATCCTAGAGGAAGACATGGTATGTAGGTTGATTTAGATGACTGAACTTTAAAAATTTTGAATTTTGCACAATAAACTTTGTGTTCTTTATGTGCGCTATTTAAGCCTACCATCCTTATGAAATATATTCATGATTTGACTGATAAGGAAACAGGCCTAAAGAATCATTAAGTAAC